CACCCGTTTCATGTTCCATTTTTTCTACTAAACGGATCAACTACACCATCACTGAAGCGTGGTTCACCATGAAACGATTTTATATTACTCATGAATCAATTACAACATGAACCAGTTTCACTTTCATGAAACCTGTTTCATTAACATTATTTTTTTAATTTGAACCATAATTTACGATTTCATTCCATAATGCAATTCAATCTTCAAGACCGTTTGCAGATTCAATCTCATAACAATATATCAAATTCAAAATTTTAATATTATAATATAATTAAATATTTAAATGTTACCATTTATACAATTTTCTTATACTTTTTCTTAATTAAGATTTATTAATAACTTCCATATTTAATAAAAAATATTGTAAATGACCAAAATATCCTTATTGATTAAATTTAATTAGAAAAAAGTGAAATTTTTCTATTGGTCGAAATTGGTTTATATGGTTTCTTAGAAATGCACGGTTTTCATTTGAATATGCCCATATATATATAGGGGCTGGTTCAAATGTTAACCAATATTATTGTATTAACTTTGTTAACCAATCTTGGCCATTGATTCTTACAATAAATGGTTTGTGATTAATCGTGATAAAAAACTAATTTTAAATTTGCAATTTAAAAAACATATGTGAACAAAGGGGAAAAGGGCATTTAGGTATTTTCTTTATGTAACTCCCATATCATTAATTGAGAGTTACAAAATCAAAAAATCTCATTCTTTTTGTTAATATAAAAACCATATGAATACACACACACACACATATATATATATATACACATATAAACAACATGTGAACCGTATGAACAACCTGTGAACCGTATGAACAACTTGTGAACCGTATGAACATCTTCTGTATATTCAGAAATCAACTCTGTTGTATGTACATGAAGTATGAACCAAGACATCTAGGGTTGTATGTTTTCATACGTACTCACATGTCTTCACATGTTCTCTGTGTGTGTGTGTGTGTGTATATGAATTCATATGAACATTTAGTGACTTGAATAGACATGAACACTTATGAATCACGACATCTAAGGCTGTGTGGTTTTTGATGTGTTCATATGTGTTCATATGTCTGTGTGTCTCCCTATGTCTTCATATGAACATTTAATGCATTATGTGTTAACTTCATATGTCTTCACCTGTAAACTGATTGAATCTTTCAATAGAGCCAGCTCCAGAATATACAGTAGCTGTTCAACAGGTCAGCTGCAGTCATCTTATTTGCAAGATAAGTGAGAACTGTCAAAGGTGAGAACTGTCCATTAAAACGAATGCAATATCATATTAATCCATTATTAATACAAACGTTTTGATCATTGTCTTCACTTTCGGAACTCAAAGTCTGATTGTCATTTTAAACCATTTTAACCTTCTCATTCTCATTGTTGTCGATCTGTTTTCCAATGGGTTTATCCATATTAGCTTGGACAATATCGAAAACTTTACTATCGAACATCCTTTAATAATCACAAATTCAATAACATTATAGATAGATACATCAAATTTCAAAAATAATCACAAATTGAAAAATAAGATCAATTTTAAATCATCATCAATTATGAGATTTTTATATTTTGTAACTCCCAATTAATGATATGAGAGTTACACAAAATGGTAAAATTACTTAATTACCCTTGTCATTAACATATGAGATGTATGTGAACCTAAAGAAAAKATKRATTTTCATTRGTTRARCTTGGTTAACAAAGTTAACACAATAATCTTGGTTAACATTTGAACCAAACTCTATATATATAGGTGGGTTATTATACAACCATTTACATTTGTACAACCAGTACAACCAATCTCAAACGTCCATTTAATTTGATTAATATGTGATTTCATAGAAGTTTTGATTGTTTCCTAATATAAAGTATTGATCATAATTAATGAATTTTATTCATCTTTCATAAATATTCATAAACGAACTCTAATCAATTCCATAAATATATCAATTTATTGAGTTGCATTGGTTGTACAAATACGATGGGTTGTATTTGAAACGAACACACTCTCTCTCTCTCTCTCTCTCTATATATATATATATATATATATATATATATATATATATATAGGGTTGGGTTTACATGAGACCAAGGGTTTTTCGTGAGACCCGTAAGACCAATTTATTTTCATTGATCAACTTTATAAGCTAATGATCTAATGGTTTAAAGTTGCATTGTGACAATTTTGTGATTATTGAGAAGTCTCGTGGCGTTTATAAATGTTCGGATTGTCAGATTGTAGATATAATCCAACAGTTGAGAATTGATCTTATGGGTCTCACAAAAACCATTGGTCTCACATGATCACAAGTCTTTCTATATATGAATATTTATATTTATATATAACATACCAATTTGCTATGTCATGCATCAAGAAGCAACTAGTAAGATTCAATGCTTCTATCTCCTCATCAAATCACTCCTTACGCTACTAACAACTTTGTAATGATCTTGCACCCAATATTTCTTAAAAAAAAGAGGAAGAAGTAATAACAATATTTTGATTTTGACCAAAACTTGGTGCAATTCTAAAGATAATGACCTCAAAGTCTAGTGTCAAGTGTGAACATCCCACAAACCCAAACCCAAATTCAAGAAATGCTCATAGTGACACATTTTCTTATTGGCAGTTTCCTTCATTTGGCTGTTCCATCAAGCCCGCCATTCCCTCTGTCTTTCTCCCATCGCCCTTCGCAGGTCCCTTCCACCCACTGCACACGAATCTTCTTTCAGAGATAAAACGTTAAAAAAACACTCACTGTTGTAATCGTTTCAATCATCTTTTCAAAGGTTTGACCTTTCTCTTTTTTTTTTTTTTTTACAGTTATATTGACTCAACTTTTGATTCATATGTCTTTGACCACTCATGGGGGTTGTTTAGATGTGGTCTTTTTGTTATTTAATCATCTGGGGTTGGGTTGGTTATCAAAATTATGAATTGGGTTTGATAGAATCAATGGTTTTTATTGGGGAAATTGGGGTTTTGATATGCCAATCTTGAAAGGGGGAGTGTCAGTTTACAACTCTTTACTGCTTTCTGCTTTGTGGGTATCAAAGAAGCAGCTTAGCTCATTCAGCTCTTTGGAATCAAATTCTATTCAAGAGGTTTTAAAGGGTAGGGTTTGGCTTGGTTTCTTGGTTGTGATTCATTAATTTGGGGGGAAAGTTGGGGTTCTTTAAGCAAATCTTGGACCTTTTTCTTGATTTGGTGTTGTGGGTATCAAATCTTTTAGGTTTTTGATTCTAGGTTTCTTGACATCTGAGCAGTTCCTATTTAGGGAATTTTGGAGTCAAGAAACTCAGTTCCTATTTTTGTTTTTGAGAGCTTCCAACTCATTTCCACGAAGATTCTTTACTCACTTCTCACATGGGTAAATTATTTGATGATTAGGGTTCTAAAGACTTCTGGTTGACTTCACCTGTGATTGTGGAATCATTCAGCTGTGTGAACTGGATCACTCCAATGATCCTAGAACCATAATATCTGAGATAGTGCTGGAAAAAAGAAAATCACAAGAAAGTCAGTTGTAGCTTGATGAATTTAGCAATGGCCTCCAAAAAAGATGGAATTCACATGTGAAGATGCTAGCTGTATTGAGTTTTCTACTATTGATGCAATTATCGGTCATATCTACCTCTGGATTGTTGCATACTGAGGCTTGTGGATCGCATCATATTCGCCATTCGAGTGATTCTGGTCATGAGTTGTTTTTCTATGATGGAGAATTGGTAGATAAAGATTTCTTCTGCAAATTCATCAAGTTATACATTGCAAATCACTGCTTCATCAGTAGATTCATTGTGAATCAATGCTTTGAAGGGGATCTTTTTTCAGGTATATGATCTATTACAGAATGCTAACTTTGTAGTTTGAGTCAAATTGTGTTCTTTTTTTCTTTTATTTGCGTCGAAAAAGGAATTTTTATATGCCAAATTCTGTGTTATTGTGCAGATGGTTTACCCGCGAAGGTTGAGAGGAGATTTTTGCGCTATTTGGTTATAAAAGAGACTCGAGGATCCGTGTTTAGCGCAAAATATACAGCCATGGGTGCACCAGGACTCTTGCTTCTATGTTGCACCAGTTTTTTTTGCTGTTTTCGATCTAAAAAGAAGGATACTGATGATGTTGTTCTTGTTAAGGAGTCGAATTCAAGTGAGTGATGCTTTCCGTATATTACGTGTTAAGTCAAACATTATAGTTTCTGTTTAGACGTATGAGAATTTCACAAGTTGGATTGGGTATTTGATTTTGTAGTGGATTCAGCTCCGTCTGTAGAAATGAATTCGGTGTCTGGAAAGACTCCAGCAAGTCCACTACGAGTTCCACAGAGTCCTGGTAGATTCTCGATGTCGCCGAAGCTCGATAGGATTGGATCGGTTCATCTAACAATGAATCAAGTTGCAAGAGCTACACAAAACTTTTCACCATCATTGAAGTTGGGTGAAGGAGGATTTGGAACCGTATATAAAGCTCAACTACAAGATGGTCGAATGGTCGCTATAAAAAGAGCAAGCAAGGTAACAAGAATACTTGTCATGTCGAATTTATTTGTTTTTGTAACGTTAATATACGTTAGGACTTAGAATATGTGAAACCCCTTTGAATCTCTCTCGGAAAGAGCCCTTGAGGACAGAAGGGAGGTTCACCGACATATATTGAACATAATACGTCCAAGTCTAGCTAACGTAGGACTCTTTAACATGCCTCCTACAACGGAGGCTAGACGGGCACATAGAACCCAGATGATAGATGATAGACCTTGCTCGATACCATGTAGGATATTTTGGGACCACTATGAATCTCTCTCAAAAAGTGCCCTTGAGTAGAGAAGGGAGGTTCCAACATATACGGGAGAGAATAGGTCCATGTCTAGCCAATGTAGGACTCTTAACGATATATTTGTTGTGTCGTTGTTGATTATTTATTTTTTATAACGTTAAAAATTTCATGCAGGAACGCTCCGATGCTTTACGAAGTGAATTTAGAAGTGAGATTGAGTTACTTGCGAAGATTGAACATCGAAATCTAGTAAAATTGCTTGGTTACGTAGATAAAGGAAACGAGCGCCTTATTATTACAGAGTTTGTGCCTAATGGTACACTTAGAGATCATTTAGATGGTAAGATTACCGAATATATAGATATATATATATATATAGGGAGATTCAGGGAAAAACCTCAAAAAATGAAAAACTGAACGCCCTAGTAACCATCCATCTGGACGGTTTGCACTTGTGCATACAAATAATTGAAACTACTTTTTGGTTTTTATGCACATGTGCATGTTAATGCACATGTGTATATCGCACAAATTGCTTACAAATTACTTGATGCACATGTGCATATCGTCCAGATGAATAGTCACCAGTGTGTTCCTTAGTTCTTCATTGCGGTTTTCTCCTAGACCTGATCCTATATATAAGTATCTGTGTGTGTGTGTGTGTGATTTTATGGTATCATTTTACAAGGCACGGGGCTTCATGAAAACAGCCTCTCTACTCCTGAGAGTAGAGGTAAGGTCCGTACCTTGATTCGCGATGTTATATTAATGATAATAATTTGTTATTTCTTTCCTAGGTATTCACGGAGGTTGCTTAGATTTCAGTCAACGGCTTGAAATTTCCATCGATATTGCTCACGGCTTAACGTACCTTCATTTATACTCAGGTGATTCTCGTTTCCGTTCAGTGTTCCTCTTAGTTTATCACATGTATTAAGCTCGGCAAGTCCAGATGGAGCCATGCTTGCCGAGCTTTTAAAGAAGTTTTAGCACTAAATCTTTATCGAAGAGGGCGTGTTTGTAACTTTCTATTACGGGTTTGGTTTCAATTCTGTATAACCCCATGAGATATGAGCCATGACTCAAATTATGCTTAAATTTTGAGCAGAAAAACAAATAATCCACCGAGATGTGAAATCGTCGAACATCCTTCTGACGGATACGATGCGAGCTAAAGTGGCCGATTTCGGATTTGCGAGGCTTGGGGGTACTGAGACCGGTAAAACACATGTTGTAACCAAAGTGAAAGGGACGGTTGGCTACCTTGATCCGGAGTATATGAGAACCTTTCAACTCACCCCAAAGAGCGACGTGTACTCTTTCGGGGTTTTACTGGTAGAAATTCTTACGGGTCGTCGACCTGTCGAATCGAGGCGGTTTCCGGACGAGAAGATCACGATTAGATGGGTAAGCTTTTCTCGTTACGTGCTTATCTCACTCTGAACACATTCAAATGTTGATCTTTATGAACGGTTCCCTTGTATAATGACCTTAAATGAGTTTTCAATTACAAGAATGACCTATTTTTTTTATTAACCTGGATATCCAACCCACTATGCGAGCCGATTAATCCCAGGGCGACCACCTGCGTTGCAGATAGCCCGGAGTCACCGCATTTGAACCTCCGTGGCCACAAGGGTTTTTTTATTCCTCCTTGGATTTGAACCTGAGACCTCCTGGTACTTTTGACCTTTGGATCCAAGTTCAAACTAATCAGGCACCACCTTTGTGGTTAAATGACCTATTTTTTTTAACTAACAGTATTCATCTGATCTGCCCTGGTTCAAAACAGTCAGAAGGTCATTCAGCTAAATAGCCTTTTTAGAACCCATTATAACCCTATGCATCATCATGTTGTACATTTTGCATCGATGGTGGTATCTTCGTGATCTAGTAACGACGGTTTCCGGTTCCATGAAAACTGCTATAATTGGCTCATTGGTCTCCAAGTCAAGTCAAGCCAAGCATTGACATGTTGTACTAGGTGCATTAAAAGCTGTACCGTATCTGCTTTTGCAGGCATTCGGGAAACACACCAAAGGCGAAACGATGGATTTGGTGGACCCGCAAATGATGGAAGGGGTGGACGGGGAGATCTTCGAAAAGATGTTAAGCCTGGCGTTTCAATGCGTGGCCCCCACACGAGCTGATCGGCCTGATATGAAGTCCGTGGGAGAGCAGTTGTGGGCGATACGAATGGACTATCTTAAACATGGAAGAAGAGAGTGACGGAAAAAGCTTCGGTTTCTTATATTGTAGATTATCTTTCCTTTTTTTCCTATAACCGTGGGTATCCTGGCCAGCTTGCACGAATCTCGACTAATCCATGAGACCCTTAAAATAACAGTCGGAAAAATCTCCAGTGGCCATAAAGACTCGAACCCGCGATGTATTGGGAGGAGCCCCAAGTACTAGCCTTATGCAAACTTGAACTCTAATTTTTGTTTATTTTAGATTTATGGTTGTTTTTGATGGGTTGTACCATGCAGTGAGTTTGTTTGCATGCTACAATTGTGGCAATGTACAAGTGTACAATGCTTGTGTTTTTGCATGGTACAAGTACTTGATGCATAAAAGTAGTTTATTGAATTGGATTGAAGGTGTTTTTGGCTTTTATCTGTATGTTGAGTGTAAGACATCGATACTGATAAATATAGCGGTTACAGTTGTTGTAAAGGTCTGGAATTAAACCCAGAACAGGATCATATCCTCTGAGTCTCAACCACTATGCCACAAGTGAAAAGGGTTTATGTATGTGAAAATAATCCACTAAACATTATGATATTTTTGATTTCGTCATATGAAAAAAAAAAAAAACAAAACACCACCACATATTGGTCGTGAAGCCAATTTTAATTTCTGAACAGTGTCGTATTATTAGAAGTATTATCGAATAAAATGCTAATTACGTTATCTGCCAAATTGTAAAAACTGATGATATTTTTAGAGGTTCATATAATTAGGATCCCGAGTACGGGCAACCAAATTGCCAAGATGCAAGTGTGCGTTTTATCATGGTCCACGTCGATGGACTAATCCAATGAGCCGTTACACGAAGATAAAAATGTAGTGAATTGTGTCGAGCTCTCCAAACGCACACGTTGGAGCAACACGACATACAAAGTTTAGAATACTTGTTTCATTTCCGTTTGGGGGATTTTTCATAATCTAAATGCAATAACGTTCAAGGGTAGAACGTCCAAACAAGAAAGACATGGGAATTCTGGACGTCCAATTCTTGTTCTCTACTTATTTACGTGTTGGTATTTTGGTTGGAGTGATGTTTGGATCCATTTCGTAATTATTGAGTTATCAAAGTGGCCAAACGGCATTACGACAACCCTAATTGAAGCACCAACTTCGTTTGCATCAATTTATTTCACTGGATGTCATAAACTCCAAGTCGGTCAGGTTAGACCAATTTACCTTTGTATTAAATTCACGTTCTTCAATGTTATGCAAGACTTTTCCACGTATCATTTTAACATGGAATTCCCTCTGTCACATCTTTTACATTGCACGTTTCTTTCTCCACGCAACAAAATTGCAAAATCATAACTGTCTGATCGAGATTTTTTGGTAATTCTTTTTTGACTCAGAGTAACAAAATCAAGAACCAAAGGACCAACTTAGACCCAAAAAGGTCATAATTAAAATCACTATTTTTTTATTAACCTGGATATCCAACCTGTTATGCGAGCCGAATAATTCCAAGGCGACCACCTGCTTTGTAGATAGCCCGGAGTCACCGCATTTGAACCTCCATGGCCACAAGGGGATTTTTATTCCTCCTTAAATTTGAACTTGGATTTGAACCTGAGACCTCCTGCTACTTTTGACATTTGGAGCCAAGCTCAAACCAATCAGACACCACCCTTGTGGTTAATTAAAATCACTATTAAACTTCAAATCTATATCGTCTTTAATTTATCAATTCATAAATGTGGGGAAAATTTTCAAAAAAAATTAATTTTAGAACCCGAAAAACAACAATCAATTCATCTGTCAGTAATATGAGTTCATAATTTTGAAACCAGTCTTTATTGAGGTAAAATCTGCATACATCCTACCATTCCCGAAACATAAAACATCCATCAACTGCTAAACGTTTGCAATAAAACAAAACCATGAGTCCATAACAAGTTACATATGCTTGAGTCGTTATCTTCCATTTCAAAGATGTTTGAATTCTACCTTCAAACTTCTTATTCCGGCACAGAAGCTAACATACAAAAGCTTCGAAAAAGCGAATTTCCTACACGATAACAATAACGAATGCTTGATGCCTTTATTTCATGGACGTCAGCATTACCAACAACGTTCCTTCGCCTTCATAATCTATTAAGTTCAAGAGTTGGGACGATTGCATGCAGATATTTCTTCTTCAGTTTCCTTCTCCGAAGACTCTTGTTCCTACAAAATGTGTATAGTAGGAATTTTGATAACGTGATATAACAAACCAATTGAACTTATTGAAAGCGACAAAGTATCGCTCATACACAACACAAGGAGAGGGGCACACTCTCTTTTTTAACGGATTTTATTGGTTTGTTCTATCAGGTCAACAAGATGATAATATACAACGGTTATATGACAAAAGACGAATCCTCTTTTTTGTTCTTTTCTATTCGAATCTTCTACCAATACTCGTTTTTTTCATCTACTATAGAAATTTAGCTGAAATATACTACGATTCTAACACGAAAACAGCTGCTCTACCCTTTAGAGTAGAGGTTAGATCTACATATATCATGCACCCCCATGTCCCCACTTTCAGATGGGACATATATTGGGTTCGTTTGGTTTGGTTTATACTAGAATCCTAACAAAGACAATAGAGGTGGACAAATTTATTGACTCAAGTACCTACTATGTGTTTGATCATTCGTTTCCAGACACCCCAACAAAATGGTTTTTTCTTAATTCTGGAAAAACCCTAGGTTTAATTTACTCGACAAAAGAGTGAGTTTGGTGTGCAGACAGGGCCGACTAAAAACTTGTGGTAAGGTTTTAGGGTTTTAACTTCACATGGATAGTTTAGTAATTTATCAATCCTTATCCCATCTCCCTGATTTTTGTTCCAACCATTTTGGTGGGACAAAAACCATTACGTCCTATCCCGCGTACCAAAAGCACCCTTAAGGAACCCGTGTAAAAGAGTGGTGTTTTCACTGGACCAAATCCTAACAATGAAGTATTATAGTGAAACTGAGTTGACTCAGAAAAGGTTAAATAAAGTATCATACTTATGAAACATAGACAGAAATACAAGTTCAACATCAGCAGGAGCGAACGTTCTACTCACCAGTACTGGTTGTGTAACACAAAGGAGTCGGTTGGAACTTTCTTTCCATCATCATTGCGATTCCAATGATAGAATGCATGGGTTTTATTCATTATCTCTAGTGTAGAATGTCCATAGCTGGCCTCCCGAAATGCAGAATAGTCAGGCTGAGGATCATTAAACCTGCAGAATCCATCGAGAGGAACACAATCATTTAAAAAGGGAAAGCTGCAAATGAAACAGATAGATATGGTTACTTTTTTAGAGAAATGCCAGCTATAATTAAAAGAACACCTTGATGCAAGACCTTCTTGGTTTCCTCCGTCTCCAACGGTTATGTAAACGGGAGCTGATTTGTCTGGCACAGGATACATTGCACCACCGGTTACGTTGTATTGTATGTTGGAGATCCGGTACTGAAATTGCATATCTTAGTTAAGTTACATGAAATATTGTATGAAGCAGTACAGAGTGGCATTTAAAACTCATATATACTTGTACAACTGGACTCTCCATCAACTTCGTTTATGATTGGAAAGTTCCTTTTCGTGTTATGACCGTGAGAATTGCAATGTTCAACTATACATATAGTTTAAGAAAAGTGTTACATGAGAAATCAAATGCCTAAAAGCCCCTCAACAACAACAAAATAGGAGAATCTTGTGAACTATTTTATCATGATGGGAACGGGAAAGTTCTTGATCTTGCTTTAAAAGCTTGTCATCGAAGGAAACATTGCTATTTATGTAGGATGTTCCGAAATAGAAAACTTTGCAATTTTCGTCAGATGGAGGGATCACAAGTTCATATTATGAAAATCATCCTTGGAAGAGAAAAGAATGATGCAGTAATATCAATGGACTTCAAAAGAATCACATAAGTTATAATTTGTCGATAGCATATGATGTTACAAAACATCCTACTCACATCTAGCTCAGTCGTTTTCTTATGGAATTTCTTTGTTTGATTCACAATCAGAAAGAAAAGATATAAAGGAGAGCAACAAACCGATCTTTCGTAAGCATGGACATGTCCTGCAAAGACCACATCAACTTTGTACTGAACAAACCAGCTCTCAAATGCAACTCGCATGCTTTCACCTTCCATGTAGTGAGCACTATTGCTGTTGTATATAGGGGCGTGCATGACAACAATAAGCCACGGTGTTTTCTTTCTGTCCACTTTTTTAAATTCGGCTTGTAGCCACTCCCATTGAGGTGTATATTTTACTGTCACAAGTCAAGTAAATATGCAAGGCATCAGACACGAGTAAAATAATATGCTAAGAAACTCAAAAATGAATATGTCTGTAAACAGGCTTGCACACCAAATTCCAGAAGAAAAAGGTAGGCATGCAAACCACAAGGAGCTCAGCCGGTCTACTAAGGCCAAGTTTAAGTTGATGGATATGGATCCTGATGCACTGTACATCGGAGCACTCTATTTTGAAGAATGGTTATTCCACATATTCTAGAAGACAATTTGTCAAGCTTGTCTTTTTTCTGTCCGAATTCCTATTATAAGAATATTAGAACCTCATTAGATTTCTAAAAGAGCCCTTAAAGGAGAGAAGAGAGATTCCAACATATATTCAGGAGAAATGGTCCAAGTCTAGCCGATTTGAGATTCAAACAAGCCCCCTCCAACTGAGGGACAGGCACGTATTGTCCCGGAGTGTCAAGATGGGACCAGAAGGGCACATTCCAAAGTGGTAGACCTTGGCTCTGATACCATGTGAGATTGTGAGTATATGTGGAACCCCATTATATTACTCCCCGAAAGATCCCTTGAGGAGAGAAGCGAGGTTCCAATATATATTGAGGAAAACTGGTCCTAATCCAGCTGATGTGGGACTTCAACAACAATCATGAAAGGAACCCGGCTATTTGCTTTTTGATGTATTAGCAAGTAAACAAATTAAATAATAAGAACCATAGCAACGACCATAGAGGTTGGCAAATTGTTGGATCATGGAATATTAATTGGCTTTTTATATTCTTAAAAGCTATTAGCTTGTCTGGTTATCGAACCCAACAGAGATCCCAACTTATATTTTTCCAGCACCTCCCGTAAACCAATCTCCCATCTCCTCACACAGATGACACCCTCCAGATGCAATATGTCTCCTGGCACATTCAAGGATAAGTTGACAAGAACAAGAAGAAAATTAAGACACCTTCCAAGCAGTGACATGTAGAGTTTCAGCTGTTTGCATGACAATGCCTTTAAGAGAACTCAAGCAGTGAACTAACATATAGAACAAATGGTAAGAGTTATAGCCACAGGAACGGTACAATTTATACAGTTATGGAACAAAATTTATATAGTCATACTAGTCTATAATGGTCAGTTCCTAATGAAGAAAGAAAAACAAGGTGAGAAGGTAAGTTACCAAATGGAGAATAACTGGATAGCACAATTATATGAGCGGATGCACGTCTGACGGCATACCAAAGAGGATTACTGCTACCGCTGGCTGCATAGGGGGTCGTGTATCTGTAAAGATATTGTTTGAAAGGAACAACCTCTTCCTGGACATAGAGATGAAAAAGAAAATATTATGAATCAACAGAAGGTTCAATAATTTGAATAGTGGTATACTGGCTTTCACAGTCAGAAAAACGTTGGGAAAATTTCATGGTTTTGATTATTATCAGAACTAGAAATAGTTCAGCTGTTAACTGTCTTCAAGTAACCTACATGATAACAATTATGAACAAATCACAATTGATGTACGAACGAACTGAAAGAACATGCAGAATCAGATAAGTTTTCCCAAAGTTGATGTCAGCCGAACATAAACATATTGCAAAAAAAGTCAATTCTTGTACTAAATCAAAACCAAACTGAATGACTATATGTCTAAATTCCCATGCTGCTTGTTACAGGAGGTTAACCTTTTGAAAAATGAACCAAGATAAATGAAATTCCATGCATCAGAAACAGCATGTGTTAAGGAAACAATGCCATAAAATGCCCTCATGAACTAAATATTAGTTCCACCACTTACCATATATGGCATATACTCTATTTCATGATTTCCCACTGTCCATAACCATGGTTGGTATGCTGCACTTTTTTCAACAAAACGACCATATGAATCCCAGCGTACACCCATATCATGGTATTGATACCTATCAGCATAAGATAGATCTCCAACATGTAATACGGTTTGTGCTCCGCTCTGAATGTAATGTTCAAGAGTGGACAGTGAATTATATGTTTGCCCCAAGTCACCTGAAACAAAGAACGAACAATTAATCCGCAAAACGAAGTCATAAATGCCATAAAAGAAAAACTATCGTTCTAGGATTTTCCATAAAGAGATGGACCTAGGTCAGATATATCTAAAGGTATGTAAAGAACTAATATGGATAAATCTTTTCCATAGAGCAGTTAATATGCTTTTCAACAGGTAGGTTGTCTCCTTAAAAAGTACTATCCTGAGTTTAACATCACATTAAAATTAGTGCTTGCACATCTATATCTCCAAATACAATTGAGGAGAATTCACACCATGCCAAAGAGAAGGCTTTTATCACGCTGTTACATAATATGTCAACACTTGTGGAGAAGTACCTTAATAATGTTCTCATCAAAACAAATACAAAAAAGAAGCAACTCACCTATGATTCCAAATTTGTAAGAAGCATTTGGATCGATTTTTGGAGGTGTTTGAAACCAAAATGATCGAGCAGAATCGCCTTCTCCAATCTCATAGAAGTACTTGGTGTCATACTAAGAACAAGACACACACTTGTTATTCATGAAACAGATCTTTCAGGTGAAATTGAAGAATTATGCTATAGATAAACCTATATCCCTGTGATAGAAAACTGATTTTTAAGGTGCGTGTGAAACAATAGTATTTCCTAGCATATAATATGAGAATCGGGATTCTTAGCATTCAGCATGTTATCACTATTATTTCTATGTAAATGGAGCCCGATAACTTTCTTTCATTAACTACAATATCAATGAAGCTCAAAGTGCCCTAACCTAGTATTCTGACAGATAAAACATCAACTATCAGGTTCACCAACATTTACACTCCCAAATTGTATCTTGTTCATACACTTCAAGTTCTGTTACCTAGGAATTCTTAGCTCTTAACAGTTCGAGTTGAGAGGACTAATTGAAATCAGTACGTGTTACTAATATTCAATAATGTGAGTAGATTGAATCACTTGTACTTCACAGTCTTGAACTGAGGGATAATAAAACAAATGTTATTGAGTTAGCCAACAAATACCTCAAGGTCGTTGACAAGGCACTGATGAATATAGCCAGATGTGTAGTTGTAAAACGTATAGTTTTTCACTGTCCCTTCAGCAGTAAAATCGTACTTTTTCTCTGATGTTCCATATCTTACTTGGTTTGACCCTGGTTTTTCAGGTGTCACCCATATTATAATCACACCTTTTCCATCATAATCTCCTTGAGTGATGTGAACCTACAACTTGAGCAAATGAGATAACAACTAAACTAAAAGAATGAAAAGAGTGGATGAATTAGAAAGCAGTAAATCTAGGGGTCAATGTAAACTTTCAAATGACCATGAACTGTTGGGACATGATACTTTGCAGGGCTCATGGAAGTTCAATCCTAAGGCCATCTAGTCCCAAGTCCCAACTTACCTCCTTCCACGGCTCAGCATGTGGTACTGTTTGGTAAACGTATGGAGGAATAATTCAAACATAACTAAAGGAGAATAAGAACATTTTACCACTGTATAATAATTTTACTTTCATTACTTCCGAAATATTTAGCTCTTCATTTGACTCATAAACAAATGATGTGAAATACACTGACTTACTGTAAAATCTTTATTAATTCTCTTCAGCAATATTACCTTCAATGCCCATGTGCACAAAAGTTTGTGCAAGGAACGATCTCTATTTGTTAAATGAGACAAATATGCAGGGCTAATCCTAACAAACAAACTTGACTGCCTGACAGCATGAATCATCGATCAACATTTTTAATGGACAAGAAATTATCTGTACTACAAGGGAAAAGGTTCAACCTTATTAGGACTATTTCGAGAAATACAAGTACAGGCATTATTACCTCATAAAAACTAATAGCAAGACAACTTGCTAAACAAATATTTGCGTCATCACATATAATTTATTTGACAGGTACTTCCATTGACAATGTGGAAAAAAAACAATTTATATAATTTATACGACCTTAGAAGCTTACCTGCTCTGGTGCATTATAACCACTGGGAATTGCAAAAACTTCATTATCAAGAGGAATGTCAACTGATGGCCACTCTGAACGGATGAAGTTGCTTGTAACACCGGCATACACATTGTCCAGAAAGATGAATAAAACATAGCCAATAAGCAAAAACTGAGATATCATGGATCCCATTTTCTTTTCTTTCAAATGAATCATTGCTTAACCAGCAACAAGCCCCCCAGAGTCTAAACTGCACGCAGAACAATTGCCTAAAATTGACAAAAGTTAAAGAAATCTACATAATAGAACACATACATGTGCAACTATTTTCTGAGAACTCAATTATTCAGTACATTTTCTTGATGAAATTTGGACTCCCTCCCTCTTCACCCATTTTATGATGTTGGTGTACATAGACCATCCTCAAGATTGCTTTACATTGATCTATATTGCAGCGAAGGTTGGAAGTATAAACTTACTGAGAATAACTTGGCCACATTCATACTAATGCCCGATCAAGTTAATTCTTTTACAAAAATAACAGCGGCCCAAACTGATAGAGCTCAGTTCAGTCTTGCCTATAAAGTTTTTTTTTTTGTTATAGTTCAGTAATTACAAGTTAATAATCATCACTAGTCTAACTCAGAAAACCTAGAGCTTATATCAAAATATATCAATAAGCACAATAGTCAAACGAAGTTCATGGTTTACTTTGCTAGAGATTCCTATAGAGTGGCAAGCTTCCTAAGCAACCCGAATAAAAATATGTAATTTAGTTTTGGCTCGTTTACCCAATACCAACAAGTATGCTTTAGTACCTTCTCCTTCCATTTAAGTGAACATCAGATTTAGGAGCTAGGGGTAAGTTACCCCAATATATTATAGTCCAAACTGTAGAACAGGTGTTTGATTTGTCATAACAAACATAGGTTTCGTTTTTCCCATGTGCTAACCAAGACTGACATCTATTTATGGGTGGAGGCATCCGTAGGGTAACAACCCAAATAACACAAACTGTTCATCAATATCCTTCACTATTTTAAGCAAATAACTACACTCCTGACCCCACTTTACATCCTATGGTTTACATACCAACCAGAGTGACACCAACTTTAAGTACAGACAATCAAAATTGCAGTTTGTTGGATTGTTTCGTTTAGTCATTGCAACTCAATTTCCTTGATTTATCTTAAAATCCATATTAGAACAATCACTCTACAGCTCTACTCTTATAAAAAACTGCAAGTTCCTGGAAAAATTAGAGTTTTATACGTAATCAAACTATGATAATGCCTATCACAATATGCACATATTGGTTTTGTAATTCATGATACTACACCAACGAAGACACAACAATAACGCATTGTTTCTTTATTGAAATTCTCAATTTGCATCAAATACGTATCTATACTTATTCTAGCTAAATTATAACAATCCCAATCACAATACGTTCATATACTAACGGTCCGATCTTTGATACTCACACAACACTTATTTCTTTTGTCAAAGACCTCGATTTGTATATAAAAACAGTTCAATCAAATTCACACAAAAAAAGGATCAACGTTATTTAGTAAGAACATTCGATTTTATCCATCAAAAAGGGTAGATTCATATTCAACTATAAAAGAATCAGCTCGAACAAACACTTGAATCCAGCTGCATATGTAAAATTCATCCAGTTACGACTATTGACTGACCTCAGATAAAATGTATAGATCACAGATCCTCAACTCTTTGGAGGATAGAGAGGGAGAATGGAGTTGTTGGAGGAAAATAGTCGCTATGGTTTTTCTAAGCCCGATGCAGCTTGCGTAAGTTAGCAGGAAACATGATTGTGGTTTAAATTAGCATCAGATGGTATATGACTCGTAAAAAATAGGCACGTAGCAACACAATTCACGTCATTTGTTTTTACGGCTAACATCTTTACGGGCGTTTTGGTTCGCATGTTTTAGACGAAATAAAATCTATTAAAGAAATTTGATTTTAAAGAAATTAAAATAATATTGTCAAGTTTGATTATATGTTTGGTTAATAAACATTATGATGAAATTTGTTAAAGAATTTGAATCTATCTGTTTGGTTTACAAAAGATTTGGAATGGAATAATGAAAAATGACATAAATACCCTTTCTTTGTTATTTTTTTAATTATAGATAATTATAAAATTAAAATTTAATTGGGTGAAATCAAAATCATGTATCAAATACCGTGGGATAAAATCGTAAATTAGAAATCGATCGGTCCAGAGGAAGAAATACAGTCTGAATCATCTTCATCGTCAACTTTTCATCGTCATCTTCACTGTGAAGGAGTCCAGAGGAAGAAATCGTAAATCAGAAATCGATGTGTGAAGGAGTCCTTGACAAAATCGTGAAGGAGTCAAGAGAGAGAAATCGATGGGTGAAGGAGTCACAAAGGAAGAAATCGATGGGTGAAGGAGTCACAAAGGAAGAAATCGATCGGTGAAGGAGTCTAGAGGTAGAAATTGATCGGTGAACGAGTCAGCAGCTAGGGTTTAACGGTGAATAAATCGATTTGTCGATGGAGTCCAGACTTGGCTCATGAAGGAGTTTAGCGGCTAAGGTTCTATCTTTCAGTGAGGGTATTTTGTCATTTTCAAAATACTGATTGGAATGGATTTCAAATCCATCACCTTTGTGAAGGAATGATCAAATCCACATTTAAAGGAATGTTTGGAATTTAATTTCATTTCATGGGTAACCAAACGTCGGAATGAAATTTGGTCAACATAATTGATCATTCCAATTCCATCAGATTCTGTCGGAATCCGACGAACCAAACGCCCCCTTAGTTTTACGAACATAATTTAATTTATTTTTTAAATATAAATATAAGCTGATTTATAAACTAGTTAATTAATTGAAAGTAAGATTTTTTGTCACTTTTTTCAACTATACCCTGATCAATATTAATTGTTATTAATTAATATTGTTTTTAATTTATTAATTAATTTAATTATTAATTTCAAATTATTAATTAATATTAATTTCAA